TTAAAACTCACGCCGGGCGCGTGTGCGTGCATGCCCAAGATCCCGAGAGGAGAATGGAGGAGAAGGGATTGTGGCGTGACCATCGCCTCTGGGGGGTGATTTCTCGCTTTCTGTCTCTATGTCTCTCTCTGTCCAGCGAGTGCATGTGCCCTATAGCCAAAAACCTCTTGGGGGGGGGGAAAAAAAACAGAACTTCAGGTCAAACAGAATATAGCCATTAGCTAGACGTGACCATCAGATTGGTATTTCCTTAGACCTGAGTGACTTGATAGGGCTTGCTGTGTCTTAGCCTTATAGTGCTAGCTAAAGTTGGCCAAGTGCTTTAAGTGGCCCTTTTGTTTGCATATTGGTGCATACATACATTTCACATTTTTCTTTTTCTTTTTTTTGAGAGGCGCACTCGCCAGAAAGACAGAGACAGAAAGTAAGAAATTACCTCCCAGGGGGGATGGTCATGCCACAATCCCTTCTCCATTCTCTCGGGATCTGGGGCACGCATGCACGCACACGCGCCCGGCATGAGTTTAAGCCACCGGGTCCGGGACGCGAACCATGTTTGACCACATGGGAGTTTAGTGACATAGCCATTACACTAACTGCTGGTCCCACATTTCACATTTTTCTAATGTAAACAATCCATCATGACTTTTCCAATGACCCAATATAGGGTCATATTGGGATTTTAGAGTAGTGTTTGTTTTTTTGTTTGTTTTTAGAATGATTTCATTCCACTTGTTATTATTTCTCAATTAGACCAGACAGAGGAAAAGCGAGAAAGCAAGCTGCAAGGTCTGGACTCGAACCTTCATCAGCCATGTGAGAATACAGCACTTTTAACCACCACACCACCTGCTGGCCCCTAGTGTTCATTTTTAGCAGCTTTATTTCAGGACCTGAGAAGGAAAACTCTTTCCTAAGTCGTCATAAAGAATATTCTTAGTATGACCGTCTGAAATTGAGACTTCAGAATATCTGTCCTTTTTGTTAAAACTGTAAAGATGAATAATTCTCAGATATGCCTCATTAAAGAAGGCTGGTATCACTAGTTTCTTTGTTCTTTGGTTCTTTTTTTTTTTTTCAATGTTTTGCCAGAGGGTGTGTGTGCTTGCCAGAGAGAGACAGACAGATACAGTGTGACGGAAAAAGAGAAATCACTCCCAGGGGGGATGGCCACACCACAAGTCCTTTCTCCTTCGTTCTCCTGGGGTTTTGGGAACCTGGTATGATTTTCAAGCAGCTGGTCTGGGACTTAGTGGTCAGCCATGTGGAGAGTCCAGTGCCTTAGCCACCATACCAGTTGCTGACCCCTGTGCAATCCCTTTTTACCCCAGAAAACACCTGTTCTGTGCTGAGCACTGGACCTACCCCTTGGAAAGGACGCAGTTGAGCACACTGCACGTGTATTGGCCTTCTGTTCCGATGCATGGCATTGAGTGTGCTGAGACTTGCTCCTTGACAGGTTCCATCCGGGCGCATCCCAGGCCTCAGTCTCAGTATGAGTGAGGCATCCTCCTTTTCCTTAAGGATGAGGCAGCAGAGGCACAGTGAAGTTGAGTAATTTGTCCAGAGCTACATAGCCAGCACTGCAGGCAGTGGAGATGGGGTCTGGTCCCTGGCAGCCCGCTCTGGATCCCATGCTAGGCTGGCCTGCTGCTCCCACTGAAAGTAGCTCAGTACGGCTGGGAACAGTTGCTGAGGCTGCCTGTTTGTGCTTTGCCCTTAGGATTATGAGGTTGATGAAGAGGACATGATGAATCAGGTGTTGCAGCGCTCCATCATCGATCAGTGAGCCGCGTCCAAGCTGCCTGCCTCATGTTCCAGAGCTCCCATAACGTGTTAAGTGTGAAACCTCTGACCTCCTACACTTTGGCTATATGACAGCCCCAGAAATGAGCTGGGACACAGTCACTTCAGCAGAGGAAACGGGTCCCCAAGACAGAGCCCTCTTTTCCTTTGGGCTCGTATCAAAGCTGTCTTCCCTTCTGTTCACCTTCTTTGTCACATGGTTTAGTCTTTACTGGTCCACAGCTACTGCTGGAGCTTTTGCCACCCTTCCTGGAAGAGAATCTAGCTTCTCCACCTCCTCCCGTTTCACATTTGTTTTCCCATCCAGTGTTGATCTCTCAAGTCCTCCGAGCCAGCCAGGACCTTTTCTGGGTCATGAATAGCACAATGAAACAGGTGTCCCCTCCTTCCCTGTCCCTGAGGTGGGTGAACTCTGGCCGTCCCACGTCTGACCAGTGCTAAGGCTCCTTGTAATCCGAGCGGCTTGTCAGTGTGTCCTTGGCTGCAACAGCCACAAGCAAGAAACATCTCAAAAGTCCTCTGGGGGGGTGAATCTTCTGGGTTGAGCATGATCTGATGCTGGAACTTCTGATTAGTGATCTTTTCCTACTCCCACACACCCTTAGAATGAACTGGTTTGGTCTTAAATGCCTGCATGGTGCCTTTTTAGGATAAGGTGTAACTGTAACTGTATGTTTTCAGTGGAAGTGTTTCTAGGTTAGGAAAGTCAAAATCCATTCATCCATAAGTGGGGAGGAGGACTGTCTGAGGTGCATGGGCTGTGGCTTTGGGCTCTGGTTTCAAGCAGACGAAGTATTTCAGGCAGCATCATGCTACCTCTGTGTTGGGAGCCTGCTTACATTCTTGTCCTGGAAGCACAAAAGGGATTCCTTAAGTGAGTAAGAAGGGACAGGTTTGGGGCCTGCCATGGCTGCTAGTTTATTCATCTTCTGCTTGGTGACATAGATTACACCAAACATTGCTTTTCTGTCACAGATCGTTTCCTTCAACTCTGGTTTCCACTTGTAAATCTGTTAGGAAGCCTTCCTCAGTGCAGAGGGGCTGTTGGGAATCCATATCGCCCTCTGTTGTCTCTTCTGACAAGACACTGTTCCTGAGGCACAGCGCGTGTCCTGGGGAGCTGCAGTTAGAGCCCTCTACTAGAAATTCGCCTTGTAACAGCCCAGGAACTTCAAGTCCAGCATATTTCCCGAAGAGTCCTAAATACAAGGCCAAGAGTGGCCAGCCTCTCCTGTAGGAACAGAACCACTGACAAAAAGGCATATGGATCTAGCTTCGTTGTTTGATGTCACACATCAGTAGTCTGAATAGGGATATTTTTCTCTAGCCAGTGGCTGAGGTCGCAAGTGAGCGGGCTTTGGGCCTTCCCCCTGCTGCTGTGGGCCTCTCCTTACCTTCCAGTAAGGAGCAGCAGATGCCAGCAATCAGCAGGGACAGGGCCCATTTGGGGCAAAATATTTTTTTCTAATGTGCTTTGGAAGACCCAAATGTTAAAGCCAATGTCTTCGCTGTAATTTCTGGGAAAAGCTCACTGAGACCTCCCTGGATTTGAGATCATCTCAAGAGGTCAGATTTTGGAGGGAAATTTGAAAATCGAGGGAAACTTTCATTGGAGGAATCTGACAAAGGTGTGTCCATCTTACTAAAGGTACCAAGAAACTTCTTTCTTGTATTAAGTGCACTTCATATATTTCTAATAAGATGACTTTCCAGAAAGAGATTTGTTATGTTCTGGCTTTTAAAAGATGAGATATAAATAAATTTCATAATTTATCCAACTGCTAAGCTGTAATGGTTCTTTCCATTAGCCACACGTGCTGAGGCCTGGGAGCCTTTGGAAGGTTTTTACTCTGGGTGAGGAGGAATTTCCACCTCTCACCGAGCCTGGTCCAGCTAACTGCTGGTCCCCCTACACCTCATCTTTAACTCCTGTGCATCGCAGTCCCCCACCTTACCAAATCTGAATAACAGTTGGTCCTCACCATCCCATTGCCACCCGCATCTGAAAAGCCACCATGATATCCAAATTATTGACGTGCTTTTACAGAGACAGAGTGGGAAAGTGAGAAATGTTACCCCAGGGGGGATGGTCTTGCTGCATTTCCTTCTCCATCTCCTTTTGGGACTTTGGGAACACTCGCACATGCAGCCAGAGTGATTTTCAAGCCGCCAAATCTGGGACTTCAATTGCCCAGTTGGCCTGTGAGATCCAATCGCCCGAAGGTCCACACCACCTGCTGACCTGACACACCTTTCTATTTGGCTTCTTGCTGTGTAACTGACTTCCACTCCATCCTCTCCCAAGCAGCCAGGACTCTTCAGTGGCTTCAGCTACCCTCAAAGTCCCAGCACCTTGCTGTGGCCCTCCAGGCCCTGTGCTCTGCTCACTGCCCAGCTCTCCAGCCTCAGCTCCCGACCACAAGGTCTTTCTGAATCTCACACAGGTCACAGTCCCCACCTCAAGGACTGCACACATACCCTTCCCTCTGGAATGCGTGGTGCCCATTTGTAGTCTGGATGTCTACATCAGGGTTTCATGTGAGGATTTCATTTTCCTGTAGAGCCTCCTACCTGTAGTTCTACTCAGGGCATTTGTTAAACCTGTTGTGTAGATCCCCTCCCATATACTGTAAGTTCCCGGAGGTCTTAATTCCTGGTCTGATTTGTTGGAATAAACCCATTGCTTAACATTTGGCTTGCCGAATAAAATGAATTTCAAAATAAGTTTTTAGTATAATATTCCCAAATACTCATGAGAGCATAATCTGCCCAAGGAAGTGAATGCCAAGAACATTCATACTAAATATTACTTGGTGCTTACCTGAAATTCAGTTAACCAAGCATCCTGTATTTTTATTGGTTAAGTCTAGCAAGCTGACTCTGTCAGCACCATAAATGTCCCAAACATCTATATGCCAGGCAACTCACACCTCATTAAGTCATTTACACGTTTTCGTTTTGTTTTGCTATAGGGAGCATGCACTCACTGGAGAGAGAAAGTGAGAAAGCATCCCATTGGGGGAATGGCCATCCCACAATCATTTCTCTGTTCTCCCCATGATTTTGGCATGTTTTCAAAACACTGTCCATGTGGGAGCCAGCACAGCACCTTACCCCCACCGTCACCTCCTAGCCCCACAATTTTCCTTTCTTTCTTTCTTTTTTTTTTTTTTTTTTTTAAGAGAATTTGTTATAGTACGCATGTGCTCCCTGGACAGACTGAAAGACAGAAGCCAAGAAGTCACCCCCTGGGGAGGTGGCCACACTGCAGTCCCTTCTCCATTCTCCTGGGATTTTGGGCATGCATGCACATGCACCCAGCATGAGTTTTAAGCTGCTGGGTCTGAGGTTCGAACCGTGGTCAACTACTTGAGAGTCCAGCAATATAACCATTACGCCATCTGCGATCCCACTCTTCATGGCTCCCACCCCAGAAGTTAACCTCTTGAGAGCAATTACTGTGTCTGTCTTATGCATCACTGGCCTCCGTACGTGGCCCTGTGTCTGTCTTGTGCATCACTGGCCTCCGTACGTGGCCCTGTGTGCTCTCAGTTCCATTCCTAGAATCAAAATAGAACTAAAGGATACAGGGGAGCGGTTCTAATGGTTTCTTTCCCGGACAATTCGTCCATCACTGAACAGAGGTGGTACGGGGAGGAGAGCCTGAAGGGGGCAGTGTTTCCCACCACCACCCCAGGTGCTGGCATCCTGCTGTCCGTCACCGTGGAGGGGCGGGACCTCAAACTGGAATCATTGGAAGCCAGAACCTACAAGGCAGGATACCCTCTTGCCTTTATTCTCTTGTTACCTTCTGCGGTGTTTACTGAGTGCCCCACGCAGGGCCCAGCTGGGTACTGAGTACAGGAGTAGCTGTGATGATCGTTTTCACCCCTGGTTCCTGATTGCATCCTGCTGCGTTTAGCTTCTGAAAGGTGGCAAGAGCCAATCTCTTGTAACCTTAGCCATCCCTGCAGGAAGGATGCAGATAGCACTCCAGTGCACAGCAAAGGGCAGAGGCCAGAGAAGCTGAGAAATTTGCCCAAGCCAAAAAACGCTTAAACGACTTGGCATTGTAGTGGAGAGGTGCGATGGGCTGCTGTCCCCAGCACAGACACGGTATCCGCACTCCCTAGCTCTGTGACTGTGGACAAGTTATTCTGACCTCTTTGTACCTCGGTTTCCTCTGTTAAAAGGGGCTAGTGGGCCAGCAGTTAGCATAATGCCTATGTTGCTGGACTCCCATGTAGTTGACTATGGTTCGTGTCCCAGACCTGGCGGCTTAAACTTACACCGGGCGTGTGTGTACGCGTGCCCGTCCAAGATCCCAAGAGGAGAATGGAGGAGAAAGGATTGTGGCATGGCCATCCCCCCTGGGGAGTGATTTCTCACTTTCTGTTCTCTGTCTCTGTCTCTCTGGCGACTCCACGCACCCTATAGCAAAAACCTCCAAAAAATGGTGTGTGTGTGTGTGGGGGGGGCTAATGAAAGTGTCTTCCTCGGGGCCAGCAGTGGCATGGTGGTTGAGGTGAGTAGATCCTATATGACTGACCATGTCTTTGAGTCCCCGACCTAATGTGGCTTGAAAAACATGCTGGTGTGTGTATATGCCTCCCAAAACCCTGAAAGGGCGAGTTGGAGCAGAAAGGATTGCTGCGTAACCATTCCCCATTGAGGGTGCTTTCTCACTGTGGCCGTCTCTCCCCCGCCCCCCTACCCCCCACATCAAGGTACATGTCCTCTAGCAAAATTTTTTAAAAACAACAAAAATTTACTTAAAGAGTTGTGGGAATCGGGAACCAGCAGTTAGCGTAATGGCTATGTCGCTGGACTCCCACGTAGTCGACCACGGTTCGTGTCCCAGACCCGGTGGCTTAAAACTCACGCCGGGCGCGTGTGTGTGCGTGCCCAAGATCCCGAGAGGAGAATGGAGGAGAAGGGATTGCAGCGTGACCATCCCCCCTGGGGGGTGATTTCTCGCTTTCTGTCTCTATGTCTCTCTCTGTCTGGCGAGCGCACGCGCCCTACAGTGAAAATCTCTCAAAAAAAAAAAAAAAAAAAAAAGAGTTGTGGGAATCCAGGGAGATAATACTGATGACTACAAACAGGATTACAGAGTGAGGTGTTTCCCAAACTTGGCCTTAAGAGATGCATTACCTGGGAGGCACTTGCTATAAAATGATTCCCAGGCCCCTCCCTAGGAGATTCTGATGGATGGGGCCTGAGATTCTGCATCTTTTACAGAGCCATGGGTAAAATGCATTCTTAAGGCCAGCAGGTGGTGTGGTGGTTAAGACCCTGGGTTTGTATGTGTGTCCAAAATCCCTAGAGGAGAATGGAGAGGGATTGCAGTGTGGCCATCCCCTCGGGGGTTGATTTCTCACTTTCTGTCTCTCTCTCTCCAATGAACACACATGCCCTATAGCAAAACAAAAACAAGGATTGTGGTGTGGCCATTCCCCCTGGGAAGGGTGATTTCTTACTTTCTCTCTCTCTCCAACGAATGCACATGCCCTATAGCAAAAATCTCTCTTAAAAGTAAAAAATATTGTTTGGGGCTAGCAGTTGATCTAACAGTTACATTGCTGGACTCCCATATGGCCGACCATGGTTTGAGTCGTACGTGTGCGTGTGTGCTCAAGATCCCGGGAAGAGAATGGAAAAGCCTCCCTAGGCCTCACCACTTAGCCAAGTGATGAATGCGTCACCGATGCCGGGGCGACCCACGAGTGACCTGACGGGCACACTGAAGGTGCGGCCCTCCACCCGTGGTTCTGGGCAGAAAAGCAGAGCCTCTAATCACAGCCTGAAAATGGGAAAATGCTTTACTTCCTGTCTGTAACCTGCATTTTTCACTCCATGGTATCAAAAATCTTTCCATGTTAATGTGGCATTTTTTAAAAACTATTTGTTTCTCCCATAGCCAGAGAGAGAGAGAGAGAGACCCCCAACAGGGGCTTTATGCTGCAGCCCAGGCCCAGCCTTTAGCCAGCACCAGACCACGGGCAAGTGTGTGCCTGGGATTCTCAGAGGGACCCCCAGACTCGAACTGGGAACCTTCCCGTATGGGATTGCCTGACAGAGCATTGTGCTTTACCACTGTGCCACCGTCTGGCCCCTAATGTGTTAGTTTTGACGGCAGCATGATGCTCCCTGTGGGACAGGCCCTGTTTTACTTAGCAGGAAGCGTTTAGGTTGTTCCCAGTGTGGCCCCATCAGAGGCGGTACTAGAGTAAGCATCGCCACCACCGCATCAGATTATTTTACATGCAGAGCTGCTGGGCCAGAGGGGAAAGGCTAGGACCAGCAGTGTGAGGCTAAGGCCGGATCCCACATGGCCAGCTGGTGGTTCAAGTGCTGGACACAGTGTTGAGAATCACACCAGGCACATGCATGTGCATGTGTGTCCAAAATCCCGAGAGGAGAATGGAGGAGGAGGGTTTGTGGGGCCATCCTCCCTGGGGGGGTGGGTGCTTTCTCACTTTCCCTCTCTGTGTCTCCCTCTTTTGTTCGCTCTCACAAGTGCATGCGCCTTATAGCAAAAACAACAAGAAATATGGAGCTGGCAGGTAGCATGGTTGTCGAGGTACTGGACTCCTACATAGGCAACCTGGGTTCAAGTCCTGGTGCTGGCTTTTGCACTTTCCTGCTCTCTCTGGTCAAATTAAGATAATAACAATAATAATTAAAATTAAATTTAATTTAATTCTTAAAATTATTTTTAGAGGGTTTTTTTTTTTGCTATAGGACGCGTGTGCTCGCCAGACAGATAGACAGAAATA